TCAGCAAATATGATTATCCCTACAGTACATGTGATCCAGTTCTTTGCAAAATGTCACATAATAAGGGGCATGGCCTGAATCTGAAGTGACTGTAACACTTCATAAATATGCTGTGTATTCTTGATAGCCACCCAGCAAAGCCCTAACCCCGGGTCAGTCAGTGTCAGTGTCACTAGTGACCGTGACACATCCCATTTCCACTTCAGCACACTGCCCATTCTGGTGTGTCTTCAGCTTCCTCTCCCATTTCCCATAACTGTTCAAACCTTTACCACCTTACCCCTCTCTAGTGCCAACCTACACTTATGCCTCACACACCCAGCAGGTGGACTTAGTCCACCCCGAGAGTCCTACTGAGTACTGCTTTATCAGCCCTGTCTGCGTGCTTATCTGCTTCCATGTTTTAGGCTTATATTTGATCCTCTGGCTCTAAAATAATGAAACTTTCTTATGGGGGAAGAGATTTGAAAGATACCTGTCTAGTAGGTCTTATGGTCTCAGCTTCTGCTCTTGGATGAAAACAGACTGGTCAGAATAATGAAAAAGAAGAATGCAGACAGGGAGGGCAGTTTATAAGACTAACCTGAGCTCTATTCAAAAGGTATGTAAGAACTGGGAATAATTTATAACACAATTTAATGGAACTAATGTGGACTGTGAGAACATGATTGAGATCATAAAAGATAATTAAGAGTTGACTAAGCAAATAAGAGGGTAAAAAGTAATGAGGTAGATAAGAAAGTACATGGATCCTTTGGATCCAGAGGATACCACTGGATAGGCAAGGAGTAGATGATGAAATGATGCACATGGTTTTATGCCAGAGTCTGGATATTGTTCTGTGCTTCAGAGAAGTTGGACATTGCAGAAATCACGGAATTTTACTGTCACACAAAGGGTGCTGTAAAGAGTGAGGATAGATTTAAGCACAAAAGTTGTCATGAGACAGTCCCCTCTCCCCTTTTTCTCTTCTCATCGCAGGTGGTCAGTTAACCCACTCTGCCACAATGTCAGCCCCCATTTCTCTAAGATTATAAAATTTACAGGTATAGAAACATACATTGGACTTGTGAGCATTCTATTTCAGAAATATTTATTAAGCATGCAATATGCTGAGAATGTATTAGGTATGAATGATATTAATAAAGCTATAAAAGTTCAGGAATATATTTGTATTTATTATAAGGTAAGATGAAAGAAGGTGATCCAAACAGCATGATATTGAGAAGACAAATTGATCAAAGAAACAACATAGAGAGCTCTAAATTAGAACCATGAAATGATCAAACTATGGAAAAGGCACAAAGGCAATTCAATTGAGAAAGAATAGCCTTTGCAACAAGTGCCGATAAAATAACTGTATACTAATATGTACAAAGCAAAACACGGGACCTTCAGCACGCAGGACTGCAGCTTAACCCAGCCAGGCTTATCTGCTTCCATGTTTATTGGATCTTATGGCTGTGCCCAGTTGGCAATGGGCAATGCTATTTCGCCCAGCACAGGTCATCCACGTGGGTGTGTGCCTTGACCTGACCCAGAGATGCCCTTGGGTTTCTCCCCTTTAGACTACTCCATCTCAGTTTCCTTGCCTACCTGTGAGTGTAGTGGTCCAGTCTGCAAGATCCCAGGAGTCAGTATCTCCCCACCCCGTATCTTAAAAAAAATTGCCCACCAGCTATTGGCTGTTTTTTCTTTTTCTCAGCATGTAATGCTTGCCTAGGTGCAAGGCACTCTAGGCAGTTGCTTACAGCTCAGATGGCTCATCAATTTTAACAAAGGTCTCACACCAGTATAAGATGTTAATAATAGATAAAACTGTTGGGAACTGAGAAGACGGAAGAAGGGAAGAATAAATAGATGAGACTATGTCTCTACTTAATCTTTCTGCACATCTAGAACCATACCAAAAACTGAACATGTATGTGTTAACCTATTTCCAAATTTGACTCAAGAGAAAGTGGAAAAAGCTGGTGTGAGTGTTTGGCCTAGCAGTTAATATTTATGGTTGGGATGCCCACAATTCACACTTCAGTACCCAGGATTGATACCCAGTACACTCCTGACTCCAGCTTCTCGATAATGCAGATCCTATGTCCTGGTGGCTTGAGTCATTGGGTTCCTGCCACTCTTGGGGAGACCTGGGCTGCGTTGCCAGATCCCAGCTTTGGCCCAGCCCAGTTATGGCCACTGCAGGTACTTAAGGGATGAAACAGTGGGAAGGAGTGCCTCTCCAACTCATGAAGTACAATGTTAAAAAAAAAAAATATATATATATATATATATCAGTCTTTTAACTACACAGAAAATACTTGCAAGTTGCTAATTTCTCCATTATAGAAATATATAACCCGCATCATTTTTATAGGCAATTACTTCATCAGCTTTGTTTTAAACTGAATCTTTGTGTCTCCACCTGGCAACCCCAAATTCACATGTTGAAATTCTAATGCCAAGTGTGATGGTATCTGGAGTTGGGCCTTTGAAGTGGTTAATGAGACTGGAGCACTCATGAAAAGGATTAGTGTTTCTAGAAATGAGACCTCAGGGTGCTTCCTTTTTGTCTTAGCATGTGGAAATATATTGAGAAGACATTCTAAATGAAGCAGGAAGTGGGCCTTCACCAGACATGGAATCTTCTAGTGCCTTCTTGAACTTTTCAGCAACCAGAACTATGAGGAATACACTTCTATTATTTTTCAGCCTCATGGTGAAAAGCATTGTTTGCTAGCATCCCAATAAATTGTCAAAGAGTAAATATTTCCTATGCTACATATTTTGCACAAGTCTTTCTTTGAAACCTGCACCTTGCATGTGCATAACTTTTGCATCAAAACTAAGCATTTTTAATGCCATTTTCCACCAACTTTTCCAAGTGTCCCTGAGGAAGCAGATGCAGCGTCCCCACCTAAGTTTAGCAAAGTAGCAAAATGTATTCCACTAAACCTGAAAAAACAGATCTTTATAGTTTCATTACCTTTTATGTTTATTCTAGCCAAATTTATTGTTTATAAAAGGGAATGGTGTGTTCATGGGAGTGTCACAGGGTCTGTGAGGAGAAAAGGGATAGAATGGGGGTGAGCAAGTAGTGACCCTGTGACAGGGCCAGTAAAACAGCCCAGAGCAGAGCCAAGCACCTCTGTAAAGTCCAACATGGACTTACAATGTCTGATGCAGGCTCTCCAAAACTGGCTGAGATGTGTGAGCAACAGAACGTTGCTGAATATCAGCTATAGCTGTTTAGGCCTGAGCACAGGCAGATTGCACCACAGCTGAAACTACTCCCTTGTGAAGTACAGACCATTCACGTAGCTGGAACTGGTCTCTGTGGCTTATATTCAAATAGAATCATTAAATTAAACCCTTCATTTATCAGGAGTCACTAGAGGTGAAGAGATTTGGACCATATATGAAAGATATCTTCAGTATTCTTGCCGTCACAGTTGTCTGGGTCCTTATCTTTTATTTCCCTATATCAGAAAAACAAACAAGCAAACAAACAAAAAACCAGAAGGATCCAGAGGATACCAATTAGCTTATTAGTCAAAAATTGAAAAAAGAACAGACAAGATCAGGCGTGTTTAGGGTGGCATGCACCATGGTGTGTGTGTGTATATATTTTTGTATCAAAGTTAGTATGGAGGTGTTAGAGTTTTTTCCTATTTTCCAGGATTGAACTTCCTACACCCTTGGAACTTCCTATCAGCAGTCTTTCATGAACACTTAGATCAGACCCAAGTTGATGCTTAGGAGATGACTCAGAATTGGGGTTGTTATGCAAGAGACCAATCATCCAACCTGAAGGTTGGTTTTAACACACACATGTGCTTGACCTACGGAAAAGTGAGGAAGATTTTAATTTAGTAACAATGGCAAAAACTGATTCCCACCTATATGATGAAATCTCAATGGAAACTCTGAACTTCATTGCTCAGTTGGGCTTCCCAAGCACACTGATGTATACAGACACTGGTGCTTCCTGACTCACAGGTGAGGGCATAGAACTCCATGTTCAGGACTATTTCAGAGCTTGACACAGGCTGATCCTGATTTGCATTCTTCATAAGAAAACTATTATTACAAGTATAGTACTTTCCTAAGTTTGTGTCATTAAAACAAAATATGAAGTTTGAAGAGGTTGTGGGTGTCATGGAGTTTGATTACAAGATCCTTAAACTTACGGCTAGAATCTGAAGTGAGGGTATTTTGGAGTCTGGGATGGGGAAAAAGGGACAGTATTCTTTTTCTGTGCAATTAACTCTTGATTGTAACACAACAGTATTGGGGTTCTGCAGAGGGGTGAAGACAAACTATTCAGTTTATCTGGGTTTGGTTTTTTCTTCAGTGTACCAGACCTCAAATCATGTTATTTTAAAAGCTGCATTTATGTTGTGTGTAGGGAAAGCACAGTGTGGGATGCTGAGATTCTCTGTTCTCACCCAGTGCCCCACTTTCAGCCATTCTTGTATGCGTCGGCCCTACAGTCATCCCTCTACATGCACTCTATTCCAGCAGTAAAGGGCAATTACTTATTACTTGGTACAAGGTTAGTTGTTGGGTCAGTGTCTTGACACATCCTAAATCTTACACCAGCTCTTTTCTGCTTGTGGTCAGAGGTGGGGTTTTCTCAGGGTTCTTACTATATTCCATGGCAACTGAAATGTCTTGAATCTGTAATTAGTCCTGGATAACTGTTTTATTCCCAGAATTAGCAGGACTCTTCTAATGATATTGGCATAGGATTTGGGGGTCAAAGATGATCTCTAGTTCTCTTAGAGGTTAAGGATTTGGTCCTCACCCATCTGTAGCCTCACTGGTGCGAGGATTATATTCACAGCAGTGTTTCCTATTCCTGTGCTCTCCTCTGTTCTTGTCCTTACATGCAGTGGAATTTGGCCTGCGCCTTGGAGATTAAGAAGGCTTGCTTGTCTGGCTGCTGTATTAATAAAAGGAAAAAAACTGTAAATAACAAATACAAAACATGAAAATAATCCTGAGAAGTGCCTTAAAATAATTGTTTCAACAATTGTTGAAAATATTTATTTAGAAAAAAAACTTCAGCTGGAAAACAGCAGAAATGGGGGTGGAGGGAATCTCACATTTTATGTTAACAACAAAATAACATGTTGAGGGTTTTTTTTTTTCTACAATGAAAGCCACACAGATTTGTGCATATGGCCAAGGAAAGGGACAGGTATGTAGAAAAAACAAAGAATTGAGAGGTAGAAAATAACTTGGTTTACTGCCTGTAAGTCTTGTCTTGTTTGGAGAGGAACCTTTGGGAAAACATGAGTTGGTCTAGCCTTGACTGGTACACTAGAGGTAGAACCAATATAACTGAAACAAGAGCTATATATCAGTTTTCAAGGTAACTTCTAAGGGGGTTTGGTTCCACCAATGAATAAAGTTCCTAACTCTACACTAAACTCATCCTTTGGAATATCAGTTTCATCCCCTGGTTCTTCTCCAAGCTTCTTCCACCAGGGTGCTTGCATGTACTTTAAGGTGGCAAGATGGGCCTGCTTGGCCTTGGCTGCCACAGGTCTGGATCTACTCAGGAAGAGCTCAGGTTCTTTCTCTTCTGCTTCGTTCAGACTTGGCGCTTCTGTAATAAACACAAGATGTATAGATGAAAGACTCCTCTAGCAGACAGGACCTTGGAAACTGTACAGGTGGGACTCCATTACAGAAGAGAATTCCAACCTTGAATCTATCATGATTACCAACAGTGGATGCTGTAGGACTAGTAAAAGCTGTATCTGTGGTTGGTAGCAACATCTCTACTCCTTGCCACTTTTGATGTTGAAAGGAGGGTCTGGTGTGGTGCTGGCATCCATGGATGTCGGTTTGAGTCTCACCTACTCCACTTTCAATCCAGCTCCCTTCCTATGGCTTGGGAAAGCAGCATAGGATGACCCAAGGACTTGGGCCCTGCCCCCACATGAGACTCATACTAAGCTCCTGGCTCCCAGCTCTGGCTGTTGTGATCATTTGGGGAGTGAACTAGTAGACAGCCAATCTTTCTCTTCCTCTGTAATTTAGACTTTCAACTAAAACAAAACATTTTTTAAAAAGAAGAAACAAATAAAGAAAGCTATAATTTAAAAAAAAAAAATCTGGGCCCGGCGGCTAAACTCCTCGCCTTGAACGCACCAGGATCCCATACGGGCACAGGTTCTAGTCCCGGCAGCTCCACTTCCCATCCAGCTCCCTGCTTGTGGCCTGTGAAAGCAGTCGAGGACGGCCCAAGGCTTAGGAACCCTGCACCCATGTGGGATACCTGGAAGGAGTTCCTGGATCCTGGCTTTGGATTGGCATAGCATCGGCCGTTGTGCTCACTTGGGGAGTGAATCATTGGATGGAAGATCTTTCTCTCCTCCTCGCTGTATATCTGACTTTCCAATAAAATAAATAAATCTTTAAAAAAATCTATTTATTTTTATTGGAAAGTCAAATTTACAGAGAAAGAGAGACAGAGAGAAAGATCTTCTATCCGCTGGTTTACTCCCCAGTTGGCTACAATAGCTGGTGCTGCACCGATCCAAAGCCAGAAGCCAGGACTCTCTTCTGGGTCTCCCTGGTGGTTGCAGGATCCCAAGGCTTTCAGCTGTCCTTGACTGCTTCCCCAGGCTACAAGCAGGAACTAGATGGGAAGTCAAGCAGCTGCGACACAAACCAGAGCCCACATGGGATCCTAGTGTATGTAAGGTGAGGACCTTAGCCCCTAGGCCACTGCACCAGGCCCAAGATGTTACCTTTTTTTTTTTTTAAAGATTTATTTATTTTTATTGGAAAGGCAGATTTACAGAGAGGAAACACAGAAAGAAAGATCTTCCACCTATTGCTTTACTACCCAAGTGGCCACAACTGCCAAAGCTGAGGTGATCTGAAGCCAGGAGCCAGGAGCTTCTTTCAGGTCTGCCATGTGTGTGTACAGGGATGTAGGCTTTGGGCCATCCTCTACTGCTTTTCCAGGCCACCAGCAGGGAGCTGGATGCAAAGTGGAGCAGCCAGCCTACACAGGAGGGTGGCATGTGCAAGGTGAAGATTCAGCTACTGAGCAATTGTATAGGTCCTAAGATTACATTTTGTAATTAAAAATTATGAAATGCTCTACAAATGAATGACACTTTAGCAACTGTCATAATTGACTTTCAAAATATGGCCCAAAGCTTTTGTGACTACATACAATCTGGCCAGTAGAGCTCAATATCTTTGAAATTAATAAATCTGAGCTGGTGCGAATGAAAGCAGCAAGGCCTGGGGGAGCACACAAAATGAAGGTTATGGAATCCGCATCATTTGAAAATACTGTGTGCTATGATGGAGAAGAATACAATTCCTGAGGATAGGGGCTAGATGAGACCATTTATGGTGCTTTCCTTCAGAAGAATCTGGATGTCACAGACCTTGCACGGCTATTCCTTTTAGGATATACAAAATGGGAGGCGTACATACTCATCAGCTGTTCAATGTTGGTGTTGATCTGCGCCATCAGAGCCTCTCTGTGCCGCTGAGCTTTCTCTTCCACAGCCCTGCCCATAAAGTAGTGTCGTAGTTGTTCTTGAGCTTCTGCATGGAGCTCCCTGCTGGCCTCATCGGACATCTGAACGACCTGGGAACACAGTGCAGAAAAGCTTGTCACAAGCAGGACATGCGTGTCAAAGTCTCCTCTACTCAGCCATTTAGCAGAGGCTCTAGGGCACTTAGCTCTCATTCTGACAATTGGATTAAAATGATGTTTATGTTCTATAAATACTAAAGACTCTTAAAAGGAGATTTTGGAAAAAAATGCAGATGGAGAAATTTTTTGTTGTGTCCCTTTAACTTTCTGAGTCAGTGTGGCATTACAGTAAAATAGATAAAACAGGAAGACACCACAGGAATAATTACAAATGATTTGCTAAATGCATTTTTCCAGTGGAAGGAGTATCAAAACCACTGGATGCTCCATTTCCCATCCAGCTCCCAGCTTGTGGCTTGGGAAAGCAGTAGAGGACAGCCTAAAGCCTTGGGATCCTGCACGCACATGGAAGACTTGGAAGAAGCTCCTGGCTCCTGCCTTCATTCAGATCGGCTCAGTTTTGGCCATTGTGGCCACTTGGGGAATGAACCAGCAGATGGAAGATCTTTCTGTCTTTCCTCTCTGTATTTCTGTCTTTCCAGTAAAAATTTTAAAAATCATTAAAAAACACAGAAAAAAACCACACAAACATTGTATGTCATTTTTATAAAGGAAAATAATAAACTATTAAAACTGTTAAAGGCAATCCAGAGCTTCTGAGTGGAGTTTAGGAACTGATGATCTATATGTTGGAGAAGATATTCTCTAATTTCTATCTCTGCTCACAGAGATCTCTGCATTGCAGTCTGTCCCTTCCTCCAATCATTTCTGATTCTTGGCCAAGGAAAAAGCTGTTAATATTATTGATCAAAATGAAGACAAACCACTGGTCATGTTTCAGTAGTGGCTAGACAGTTTCTAAAGCTCTGAAGTCTTGGCTTTTTTTTTTAGTACTTAAAAATTTTTTAGATTTATTTATTTATTTTCATTGGAATGTCATATTTACAGAGAGAAGGAGAAATAGAAAGATCTTCTATCTGCTGGTTCTCTCCCCAAATGACTGAAATGGCCAGTTACGTCAATCCGAAGCCAGGAGCCAGGAACTATCTCCGGGTCTCCTGTGCGGGCACAGGGAAGCAAGGTTATGGGCCGACCTCAACTGCTTTCCCAGGCCACAGGAAGGGAGTTGGAAGGGAAGTGGAGCAGCTGGGACATGAATCAGTGCCCATATTGGATCCTGGTTCATGCAAGACGAGGACTTTAGCCGCTAGGCTACTGCACTGGGCCCCCCAATATTTTTTACATACAGCTTTGAATTTAAAAATATAAATCTTTTAAAAGATAGCAATAATAAAGAGTAAATTTTGCTAAGCTTTGACATATATACACCTGTGAAACCATCATTACAATCAGAATAATAAACTGAATGCCACGAGAATTCCTTGTGCTTTTTTAATCCTGTTCTTATCCAACCTATTCTCCCATGTTTCAGCAATTACTGATCCACTTTCTCTAAGTATAAAATTTTTCAGACTCCTCATATATTAGACTTTTTAATGTTAATGTATTTTCCAAAGTGATTAAGTGATTGACTACTTTATATTTCTATGAAGAGTAGCTTCATTTAGAGTTCCTTTACATGCTTTGCAAACCTTTGGTACGTAACAAATGTATAATATCATATATGTGTATATATATATATATATGTATATATGTGTGTGTATATATATGTGTGTACTTAACTCCTCACCTGCTTCCTCGCAGGGTTCACGTTGGCAGTGAACTAGAATGGGATCAGAGCTGGGACACGAGCCCAGGCACATCAGTGAGATACAGGCATCTCAAGTGGCACACTAACTACTGCACCAAATTTTATTCATTTTAAAATGTAGACATAGAGATACACACATTCACACAGAATGACTTCTGTGGTTTTAATTTCTATTTTGTCTAAGGACTAAGATGCATCTTTTCTATTGTTTATTTATCACCTATTTATCGCTGGGTGAAGTGTTTATTCAAATCTTTTCATATGTGTATCTAAGTGTACATAAATAAGAATGAATATCTTTTGAACGACACTCACATAGAATCTTTCTGGAAGGTTCAAACTAGCCAAAACTTTCCTGTACTGTTATAAAAGAAGCAATAATCATGTCTTATGGTTGCCTTGAAGCAAAGCCTCAAATTAGCTTCATAATGGCTGTATCATTTATGTCATGTAATGTCTATAAACACTATATGCAACTCTAGATCCGTTAAGTACATAATAAGTCCACTGCATTATCTTAAACCATCAATAAGCATGTATAGGTATGAGACATTGCTGGTGAATGCTGTGCAATGGAACAAGGTAACGTGGGTTCTCTGTTACAGATGCCTATATACCGGATGTCTTCTGACATAGTCATCCACTTGTTGTTTCAGCTCAACTCTGCGTGCATCAGTGAGTTCTTGGAGTCCTTGCCAAGGAGAAAGTAATTTCTTTTTCTTACGGCACTTTGCAAGGAATTTAAGAGCCTGGGGGAAAGGGGAGCAAAAAAGAATGTGATTTTTCCCATTTAGTAGAACTAATTATTTTCTAAAATATAAGGTAGTTCACTACACTGCAACAGTAGTTAATTCTGAAGGTGTATGAGAAGGAAGATGGGACTGTGACAGGGTGAGTGAGGCAGGATGTGACTTTTTAACCGTTCAGCTCTTCCTCAATGTACCATTCCAACAAACACATTGCTAAAAATGTCATTAAGTGAAAAATGTGTTTAATACATTTAACTTAGCTAATAACATTATACAGTTTCTTTTTTTATAAAGAGACCTGATTTCATATAATTCATAGGCAAAGTTCATTTTTTGAAATTTTATTATTTATTTTTATTGAAAAGTCAGATTTACAGACAGGAAGATCTTTCATCCAATAATTCATTCCCCAAGTAACCACAATGGCCAGGAATGAGCCAATTCGAAGCCAGGAGCCTTTTCCGGGTCTCCCACGTGGGTGCAGGGTCCCAAGGCATTGGGCCATCCTTAACTGCTTTCCCAGGCCACAAGCAGAGAGCTGGATGGGAAGTAGAGCAGCTGGGATTAGAACCTGTGCCCATATGGGATCTTAGCACGTACAAGGCAAGGATTTTAGCCACTAGGCTACCGCGCTGGGCCTCTATACAGTTCCTATAGAATGGATACTGCTTCACATAACTGTACCAGGGACCATTTATAGAGAATAGCACTTTAATTTCAAAATTTTTATCAATTTGAGAGAAAGTTGAGAGGGCACGAATGCATGTGAACTCTTAACGTGTTGGCTCACTGCTTGAGGACCTGAGTTATTTTATTTCTTATCTGGCTCAATTGCAGTGCAAATAAAAAACATAAGGCAAGTTAAAATGTTATTTAAGGGGCTAGCTCTGCTAAGCCTACACCAGTGGTACCAGCGTCCCATATGGCTACTAGTTAGACTCCCAGTGGATCCACTTCTGAGCCAGATCCCTGCTAAATGGCCTGAGATAGCAGCATAGGATGGCCCAAAAGCCTTGGAACCTGTATCCACATGGTAGACCTGGAAGAAGCTCCTCGCTTCTGATCAATGCAACTCTGGGAATTGTGACCATTTGGGGAGTGAACCAGTGGATACAAGATCTATTTCTCTTCCCCCTCACTCTGCCTTTCAAATAAAAATAAAGAAATCTTCAAAAGTGTTATTTAAAAATTTCTAGCAGCTACATTAAAAAAGTAAAACATGGGTGAATATTTTACATATATTGAGTTATGCAAAACATCATAACTGAATATAAACAATATTAGTACTTCAACATGTAATATACATAAAAGTGTTAAGATAATTTTGCCTTTATCCAAACTATTTTTTCAAATTCTGATGAGTATTTAACAACTATAGCCTCTTTCAACTTGACTAGGTACAAACCAAGTATCCCATAGCCCCAACATGTGTAAGGCTACTACCTTAGACACTGTACATCTGGAGTGCATCTTAGAAAGCGATGCCTTAAACTATTGCATAATAATAAAAATATATATTGCATAATAATGTTTTTTATTGTTATTTCCCTGTTCTAATTTCCTTACAATTTTTATTTTTCTTCTTTGTGTACTTTCCGATTTTGTAAGTCAGTGGAGACACAGGACTGTTTGCTGTAGACATAACCCAGAGAGGTATGAAGACAGAAGATAAGGCAAATATTTTCATTTTCACTAGTGGGATGGTTTTAAAAATAGCCTTGTGAAAAGTTAATCACAGAAAAAGTTCAAAATCTACCATTGTGTGAAAAACCGAAATTGGTTTTTATTCAACAACAAAGGGTTATTATGCTAAAGGCTTTAAGACCTTAAATTGTAATATGGAGCTTTAATCATATAACAGAAAAACTGGATATCAGAAAAATGAGTAATTAGATTAAAAAACCCACAAACAGCATTATACTATACTTCTCCAAGGCAATAAAATATTACTCTTCTGTGTGTAATTCCCAGGAAATTATCACCTAACACCATTCTACACAATTCAATAGCTATAATGATATAATACTATTTCATCTATATATTTAAAAAATTAAATATGATATACACTGGCACAGGACTTTGTGATTAACAAAATACATTCCCATACATTAAGTCATTCAGTCCACCTAACAAATAAGTGAAGAGATAGGATAAACATCCCATTAAATCATACACTGAATTTATACCGAATGCTTACAGTAATAAGTAAGATTTGGAGAACTTGGAGCCCAGGTAAGAAAAATCAATTAATAGCACTGCAGCATGGTAAGTGACATACAAGGTTTGATGTTGTCCTAAAGGCCCATGTCTAAACCAACCTGGCCAGAGGTAAAAAATGTTCTTGTTTTATAAAAGAAAAAAGAGCTAACACTATAAAAGCTGTCACTTGACTAAGGCAGGTTAATGTTAAAGTCAGGTTGGAACCCATGCTCTTGCCTCCTAATCCAGAGCTGTTTTTGTACATCAGACTCACTGCTCTTTGAAGTATGATGGCTGCTTTATACTCCGTGAGAAATGGCCTCTGTTGGCAAAATTTCTTCCTTTCCCTGAACCCTCTCCAATGTTTCTGGATAATCAGTGCTGCTTTTTCTTCCATTTCCCGATTGTATTTCTGCACCTCACCTAAAAAGATGACAGACACTATCACAATATATTCACTGCTATGCTTTCTCAAGTGTGGAAATCAGAACAATAATAATAACCTGACAGTCCTTTTATTTTTTCAATATTATTTATGTTCCCAATTTACTATTTTACAATGATGCCTAAGACTTTTAGAAAGAAAAGCTTTCTTGGATTATGCAACTGCCTTACAGAGGAAGGATGTATGTAGTGTTTCTATGCAAGAAACTGACAAAAGGGATGAAAATTGAACAATAAGAACAACTTGGAAAAAAAATGTAAGTACATGACAAGAAAGTCATTTAGCAAAACAGACAGAAAAAGGAAAGTGTGTGTATGTGCTAATATTCTACTCTATATGCTTCAAATTGCTCTTCAATCAGTTATACCAATGACTTTCTTTATACTTTCTGGAAGTTAATCAACATGCAGCTTGGGACTCTCAGTAGCTAAGTAACAGAGGAAGGCAGTGGAAGAGTATAGAAGTGGCACTAAAAACAAGGTATGTATTGAACAAAGTATAAACAGTGTTGGGATTTAATGATCCATTAGATATGGAGCTGAGGGAGGGTAACAACCAGAGTGTTACAAATGAAAAGCTGGGTACACTGGATTTTTTGTGCATTACCTGGAATGGGGAATAAAACAAGGAAATCTGGGTGACAAAGTAATGACTTAAGTTTGGAGGGTGCTTGTGAATATCCAAGTAAAGCTATTCAATAGCTGGTTGTGCTAATGCAGGAAATGTTAGCCAAAGTTGGTTACTCAAGTTAAAAAAAAATAATTAAACATTCAAGTCCCTGGGTGTACTTGTCATGTTTCAAATATTCAATAGCCATCTATATAGTCATTAGCTATCACACTGGATGAGGCAGACGCAGAACACTTTGTTTTTACAGTATGGTTTACTGGGAAATGTTGCTTCAGAGTACAAGAGAGAGGCTGAAGGCACCAACAAGATCTGAAAGCACCAAGAACTCAGCTTGCTACATAAATTTTTATGTGGCCACAAATATTGCATTTAACTGTCATTTTTGCTCTCAGGCTGGTCCAGCTCCAGCTACTATGGGCATGTCATTTTTGTTACCTTTTACTCATCAAAAGTTCTTCTTAGCCATTCCAACCTAGTTTTTGTTGCTTCCTACTTTGTTACATAAGGAGACCAACAAGTATTAGTCTACAATATATCATTAAAAATAAAAACACAGAAAAAAATAAACAAGAATCATGAGGTAAAATGCAACCAGGGGAAATATCTACATTTAAAGAAAAGCAGCAGGATAAAAAGGGTTGCAGAAGAATCCTGGGAATGAGTATTAAGAAGGGAAGTAAGAAATGAGGAAAAAACCTCAAAACCTGAGACTTCCAGTACCATCAGTTATTCATAATTTCAGCTTAGTTTGTCAAAGGTGGCAAAAATATGTCATAAGGTTTGTAATAAGGAATGTGTAAAGTTCTGATGGCAGAATGAAGCAATATGCGAACTCCTTGATTGAGTTCAAGGAATTTTAATGATTATGACAGTGACTTTCATGCATAATTTTGTGTTTCACTAATCTGAAAGAAAAGAAAAATCTTTTTATGTTTCAAAATAATTACTAAGATTTACTTGGGGGAAGGGGGAAAAAAGCCACGAGAAGGGGATGGAGAGAAACATGTCTAAATTTAAAAAGAGATCATCAGGTAGCGATACTGCTTCCTACCTGGATGAATTATTTCAAGCACACTCAGCCGTGATTCTCGGGAAAGTCTCATGGCTCTCTGTCGCTGGAGCTGCAGCTGTAATTTGAGAGCCTCTTCCTCCTTCTGCCTATGGAGTTGTAGCATTATCCTTGTTCTTTTAGATCTGCAATGGAAACAGCCCCTTAAATACAATATCATAATTCATATTATCATTCAAGAAATATATGAAAAGCATAATCAAATTAATGCATACAGAAAAGTATCTTAATTCCTAGTATTAGTAGGGTATTTGAAAATAAATGATCACACATGTTGCTGCAATACAATCTTTTTTGGAGAAATATTCAGATATATGCATAAAAAATCTGGAAAAATACTTAAAATACCAAAAGTCTTAACAATTTTTTTATCAATTCAGTTTTAAAAAAACTGTGATAAGTAGTGTTTTCATTTCTATCTGTGCAATAAGCCAACCACTTTTTATCTCAGCCATGAGATCTGAAGATTGTGAATGTTACCAGGAACTGGCAGGAGAGATTGAAAGATAATAAAATTTATAATAAAAAAGATTATTTATTTGAAAGAATTACAGAAAAGAGAATGACAAGAGTGAGAACAAAAAAATCATCCATCTGTTGACTTACTTCACAGATGATGGAAACAGCCAGCACTGAGCCAGGTTGATGCCAGGAGCCAAAACTTTCTTTTGGGTCTCCCATGTAGATATGGGGGCTCCAGTACCTGAGCCATCTTCCACTGCTTGTCAGGCAAATAGCAAGGAGCTAGAATGGAAGTGGACCCAAACCAATACCCATATGGGATGCCAGCATCACAGATGGTGGCTTTACATATTAATCATGATGCTAGCCCCAATGAACTATTTCTAATTAGTTTTCTTAAGGATATCATCAAATGTGCAGTTAAGGATTTAAGTTCAAGGATATCCTTTACAGTATTAATAACAATTTGAAAACAAACCATAGGACCTACAATAGGGACCTGGATAAATAAACACTAGATCATATACCTGATGGAATTTTACAAAGTACGAAAGCACAACATTTTCGAAGAATATCATAATCCAATGTCACATGAAAATCAGGATATAGAAAATCAAAATTTTCCTTAAAATTTCTACTTACATATATAGAAAAATAAAAGATTTTTAACAATAAATTTTCAGTAGATATTTTCACCATAACTGACTATGGTTTTAATTTTGTCTTATGGTTATGTATTTCAAGAATTGACCAGTAAGAATTGTTAGGACTAGTTACAGAAATTTTCATGTTGCTAAATTTTGTTTAATTTTAATGTATTTGCTTTTACTTGCTAGCATTTCTTTTTTTTATTGGAGATTCAGATATACAGAAGACAGAGAAAGGAAGATTTTTTTTTTTAATTGGCAAGTCATACATGTAGAGAGAAGGAGAGACAGAAGTTCTTCTGTCAGATGTTTCACTGACGTTTCACTTCTCAAGTAACTGCAACAGCTGGAGCTGAGTTGATCCGAAGCCAGGATCAACTTCCAGGCCTCTTCCAGGACTCCTACACGGGTGCAGGGTCTCAAGGCTTTGGAACATCCTGCACTGCTTTTCCAAGCCACAAGCAGGGAGCTGGATGCGAAGCAGGGCTGCTGGGATTAGAAACGAATCCCATATGGGATCCCGGTGCACTCCAGGTGAGGGTTTTAACTGCTAGGCTTCCTCACCGAACCCTCACTAACATTTCTTCTGAACCATTCTGACTTTTTCGGTTGCTTCCAATTTCACTATGCGGAGTGACCACAAGTAATAGTTTACAGGAAATATAGTAAAATGTCTGGATAGCTATGACTAGAAAGGAAACAAGGATAATCAGAAGAGAAATAATTTCTCTCCCAGCTACACACTTATTTGCATGCTGCCTCCCACAACTGGTACCTTGGGTACCTTTGTAGCAGAATTCATAATGGTATAATTAAAAAGTTATGACTTCCAACTCAACTTTCTTCTGAAAGAATTAAGTGTAAAATGCAAAAATAATTAAGTGAGATTGCTTCAGTAACAACTGTATCTTTGAAAAGAAGCTTCTTAAAGCAAGGAAGAAAACAAGATTTTTCTGCTTTGTGTGTTGCGGTATATGGTTGGTTGCTTCCTTAAAATTGCTTTACTGCCAATTTAAGTTTCCTCTGGCTTTATTCTTAGTCCAGAGAGTTGTTTCAAAATGTTTTTATCCCTGTTATCAAAGAGAGGGAAGACCTCAAGTGCACATTTGTGTTAAAATGAAGATTTCTGTAGAGAATGTAGGTACAGTTGTCTAGTTTCTGAAGGACTTTTGCTTTTTCTGGAGATGAAGTAGCTATAGTTCTCTCCCTAAGCAAAGAAAAGCAGGCCCCTTCTCCTTGCCCTTCCTACACAACCCCCACCCCACCGCAAAAACTGCTGCATTATATGACATGTACATAACTAGATTTAAAAAAAGATTTATTTATGTTTCTAGGAAAGGCAGATACCCAGAGAGAAAGAGAGACAGAATCATCTTCCATCTGCTGGTTCACTACCCAAGTGGCAGCAACTGCTGGAGTTGAGCCAATCCAAAGCCAGGAACCAGGAGCTTCTTCAGTCTTTCATGCAGGTGCAAGGCCCCAAGGCTTTGCGCCATCCTCTACTGCCTCCCAGGCCACAAGTAGGGAGCTGGATGGGAAGTGAAGCAGCGGGACACAAACCACCAGTGCCCATATGGGATCCTGCCACATGCAAGGCGAGGATTTAGCCACTAGGCTCTCATGTCAAGCCCATAACTAGATTTTATCCTCCACTTACAGAAGGTTAAACAGGGCAGGCTCTAAGCACAACACCTTTTCAAATTGCTTTTTTATAACAAATTTTATAAAATTCTATAAGATTTTATTTTGATCAATGAAATAAGGTATAATAAGACTAGTGTATTCATTGAATCCAAACCACCACCAAATTTTTAAAACATGGTTATATTTATATAACAATGAAATAAAAAGTACTCTGCCATACACCATATTATCAGACATACCAATGGGGATGTTAAAATATGAAAAATATGTACCTGAGAACCAAGGATATAGTTGTTGTTAATCAGGACATATCAATTTAGGGGTTTTTTTTAAATTAATTAATTTATCTAATAAAAATGAGAAATGGAAAAAAAGAGACAAGCTATTTTCTCCCCTGGTTCACTCCCTTACTGCCTTCAACTACCATATCTGGGCCAGACTAAATCCTGGAGGCCCAAACTCAAACCACCTGTGAAGACAGATGTACATTATCTCCAGGAAACCAGAACTTAAACTCAGGCTCACGAAAATGGGAATGGGAGCACCTCAAGTGGCAGCTTAATTACTCTGTCAAACAACAAGTACTTCATTTATTTTTTATGTTATGGAGTTACTTAAAAAAATTCTAAGTGCATTTTTTTTTAATTTATCGGTATTTCACTCCCATATAATCTCCATCTTGGTATCCTTTTTTTAAAAATTAATTAATTAATTAATTAATTTATTTATTTTTTCTTGAAATCCTTTTTTTCCACATTTTATTATTATTGCTATCGTTTTATGATACAGTTTCATACTCCCTTATCCCCTCCCCAATCCCCCCCCACCCCAGTTCCTTTATATCATTACTAACATATAGTTCTTCATACTCAGTCATATGTTCATCATTGTGGGCATGGACAATGGCAGAGAGTCCAGAATCCTATTGTCAAAATATAATATAAACAGTTTCACTGTAAGTCCATCTTTGTCTGGAAACAGAAATGCATACCACACTGCATCCTCACATCTGGTTGTCAGTCTCCATTACATAACGACTGTACATTCCCTTAAGTGAAAAGTCATGATACAAAATCAACAATAGAAAGAAAAATAGAAATTTACAATGCCATGAAGTTAAATGACATGTTACTAGATATGACAGTCTCCATTACACAACTACTATACCTTCCCTTAAATGAAGAGCCACAAAACAAATACAACATCCGAGAGAAAAAAGAAATTAACAACATCAAGAAGTTAAACAACATGCTATTAAATGTCTAACATGTAGCTGAAGAAGTGAAAATCAAGAACCTTCTTGAAGAAAATGATGCCACTGTGTGATCTACGAGTCATTGAATGATTTAATCAGAAGAAAGTGTTTTGAAGAGATGAAACCAACAGAAAACAACAAAACCCATGTGATAGAGTTTCCGCTGATCTTTGTTGGAGTGTGTCTCCTCCAGACAATAAACAGATGGGTTTTGTTTTTTAATCCAGTCTACTAATCTCTGACGTTTGAGCTTAAGCAATTTACATTCAGAGTTTAATATGTATGGGTGGTACTTTGGTCCTGTCATTTTAGGAATGCGTTGTTCATTGGTTTAGTCTTCTGTTGTCATTTTACTGGGATGTTCTTCCTGTTTGCCTTTGGTTTTGGTAGGTGCTATTCCTCTTCTCTGTCAAGAGAACATCTTGAATATCATTTGTAGGGCAGTTTTGGAAGAGGCAAATTCTTTTAGCTTTTCTTTACTCTGGAAGAATTTTATTTCATTTTCAAAGATGAAAGAAAGCTTTGCTGGGTATGTTATCCTAGGCCGACAATTTTTTTCTTTTAGAATCTGGAATATGTCACTCCATTCTCTCCTTGCCTGTAGAGTTTCCTGTGAGAGATCTCCTGTGAGCTTAATTGGCATTCCTTTATATGTCAATTAATGTTTTTCACGTGCACATTTAAGGATCTTTTCCTTATGTTCAATTGAAGAGAGTTTGATAATCATATGTCTTGGTGAAGATCGCTTTTGATCAAGCCTATTGGGAGTCCTGTGTCCCTCCTGGATGTTGTTTCCCAATTCTTTCTCCAGATTAGGGAAATTTTCCTTTATTATTTCATTAAATACATTTGCAAACTCAGCTTCTCTTTCTGCACCTTCCGGGACTCCCATAACTCTTATATTTGGCCTCTTAATAGTGTCTTTCAGTTCTTGAATACTTTTTTTGGCCTGATCCAGCTCTGCTTCCAGCTTTCTGTTTGCTTCCCCCTGGTGACAGGAGATATCTGCCAATTCTGAGATTTTTTCTTCTGCTTGCTTCATTCTATTTTGGAGACTCTCCATTGTACTTGTAATTTTCTCTACTGCGTTCTTAATTTCTGATATTCCAGTCTTGATTTGCTTTACTGCTTCCTTAAATTCTTTGAACTCTTGCATGAGCTTCTCATTTTTGACCAGACTCTTCAAAATGAGTCTTATGGATTCTGTGTCCCCCATTTTCTCGATGTCTTCCTCAGTTAAATCTGAGGTTGCCAAAGGGTTTTGCTCCTTTGCAGGGGAGTGCTCAGTAATATTCATTGTGCCTTTGTCTCTTCTTTTGCTCTTGATCATTGTACTTCTGGTTAGCAGAGTCTTCTTCTTGGGGCAGGTTTCTAAGCTGTGTCACCCACAGGTCTACAATGCGATTTTACTTATTGCAGTTGGCACACAACTTTTTGCTTGCAGCCACTTGTGCCACAACCTCCAGCACTTTCCAGGTCTGGGTTCCTATGTCAGATATCCACCATGATCTCCACAACCCCAGCTCTTGGCTCACCACTCTCCACCTCCTGTGATACTGTGTTAAGGCTGCACTGTTGTCTCTGCAACCTTTCTTCCTCTTCCGGTTGGAGTGGGTTCCAGGATTAGAGAGACACCAGGTGTCCTATCTAGTTAGGTTGTTGGTGGCGCTGATCTTGTCAGAACCTGTTGGACGTTAGGTCTGGGTGCCACACGGACCTATTTTGACTGGTACAATGTCACAGTCGGTATTATTTTCCTGCGGGACCTCAGCAAGCTCTCGCGAGCTCAGCACAGGCACAGTTCTCTGTTGTCCCCTCCAGTCCCAAAGCCATTGCCACAGTGCGCAAAATGGCGCCCGACGTGCTACCACAACAGTTCTTGATCTGCTGGCCGTCTGATCCGAGGGCTACCCAGACTTGCCCCAGATGGAACCCGTAGAATGCCACGTCGTTGCAGTTCACTGAGTCAGAAATGAGCTCACTCCCTGCTCAGAGCATGCTCCGTCCTTTCCCTTGCCCTTTTCTCCTTATGCAAAATGGCGCCCAATTCAGCTCTAAGGGGCTGACTAGGCTATGAAATTCACTCTGTTCTCGCACTGCCTGAGATTTGCTGCTCTGTCTCTGCTCCTGGTCAAATCAAATGGACCAGCAGGACGGACAGTATTTTGTCTGGGTTCACCTCCCAAGCTCCCAGTGAAAGTTCCTTCCCACCTGGTTGCTGGCAGAGTTCCGGCTGCTGTTGGAGTTCAGATTGCTGTGCTGGAGTATCATACACTGCAACACCACACAATTGTGTCTGCTGCTTTCCTGTGTCTGTCAGTCTCCAGGTACCCCTCTGCTGTTGTTCTGTCCTTTCCTATTCCCTGAAATATGTCCTCTCTGCTTCATCCTGATTAAATGTTTCTCCGTCTGATTAAATGTGCCCTTACCCTATCCCGCCATCTTGATTCTACCAGTATCCTTAATTTATTCACAGTCTCTTGTTTCAGACTTCTAACTGAATATAGGCAAAAATATCTAATATTGCATCATCAATATTTTAAAAATACTATAAGCATGAGAAACATGATAATAATTAAAACTACACTACTACAACATTTCATCTGTCAGAAAATTGGGTTTTAGAAATGATCTGAGCATGCAGGTTAGTACAGCAAAAAGGAAGTCCACAGAGCATGGAGGTACAAGTAAAATGCAAGCTAAGAATGCAATAGAAAGGAGTGGCTCAGTGTCGCAAACACTGAGCCCGGTCACTTGAACAAACGCCATGAGAGAAATGGATGCTTGCAATCAAGCATATATTCAAGCAAGCACACACCAAACAGGATGGGGGAAGCCACCGAGAGTGAATAAGCCTGTGATGTTTGACACATCTTATAGTATGTCTCCTTGCTCTGAAAGTCCATCTTGTTACTAAGGGGATCCACATTCAGAAACATAGAAAAATTAGAATGAAAATAAGAGAGAGAAACATATTAGAAAACAAAGTAAATCAAAATTAATTGTACTATAGCAGGGCCCTCCAATTATCCTCAGTCATTTTTGTTGTTGTTTTTACCTGAAACTCCTCTGCAAAGCAATCACAGCAGATGGAAGCTTCTTCAATCTCTTTCTAGTTTGGTAACCCTTCCAATAAGCTTGAATCAAGCACGCTGCTTGATGTAGTTTCTGAAATTAAATGTCAGAAATAATTTTTAAAAGCTGACCTCTAAAAATAAACAGGCCAGGTCAAGTATTAATCCCCGACTCTTAACAAGATGGGCAGAAGGCAGCATGAACTTAATAGGCCTTGCACAGAGAAGGACTAAGAACACTAAACTTCTCTTCCCTGAGGAGGTGTGTTAGTTTCAGGTAATGTCTGAACATAGTAAAGAAACTGTCTAGTCAACTCCAAATTTCTCCTAATTTCATTTCCCATGTCAAAGTTTTCATAGTTCATTATAACCATTCATAATTCTAGGCTATCATGTTAATGCTTTTATTTAATTATACAACCTGATTAGAGTCAGACTGCAAGCTCTGGGATTCTTTCTGGGTGGTTGTTCAAAGCTATTTAGTTCCGAAAGCACCTGGTATGCTGTCTTGCGTCTCTCCTGCACATGACAGTTTTGATACTACTATGACTTGTGACTCCTTAACTGTATTCTCTTTTCTCCAGATTCTCTCTTTCTTCCTATACGTACTTCTTTTCATGGTTCTTGCTTCTATTTCAAATTTATGATCACTTTGACTTGGAATTTTGGATATGTATTAAAAAAAAACCTTAACTATTTTACATTTAAGTATATTTTCAGTATTTAGGTTTTCACCTGGGAATCAAAAAGCTATTTGCTTGTACTGATTGAAATACATTATCTGGAGACACCATTCCGAGTATGCCAGAGAAGTTTAGTTCAATAACTTGCTTCTTCAAACTAATAAACAATTTTTATTAATAAAATTCCTTGCATGGATGGAAAGAGATTTACTGTTTTATCTTAAAATGGCAAGAGTAACCATGGGTAATCATACATACAGTTTGCTAAAATTTTACTTTTTTTTTGAAAAAAAACATAAATGTCAGAGGTGTGGAATTCATGAAAAAATTCTAGAAAAATTTGATGATATCTATTAATCAGTATAAAAAGGAGACTGAAATTAAAGGTAGGCTAAATGGTAAAAGAAAATTTGAAAGATTCCTAGATTTTAGGAAGCGTTCTTAAAGTTTAATAGAAACTATGGAATATTTAAGAAATATTGAAATTTACTGCAGTAAGTTAATGAATGTCACATAAATCATTTTTATAACTTAATACCTGTTCTTCCACATTCTTACAGATCTTCGGGCTTAAAAGATCAACAAGCTTACTAAGTTGTTGACCAAACTCTGTCCCAGTTTCCTGTTTGTGAAGTAAGCTTCTGAGTCCTGAAATACAATGAAAAAATGATACAATTATTAGTAATAGTAACTCAGACATTAATTAGGTGTTCTCCTTGAATATAAACACCTTAAATGGAATATCTTTACAAGAAAAATTATCATGGATCCATAGCCAATACATATCTTCCCATGGAAGCATTTAAGCTGGTTGTAATTATTAATTTAAAAAGTTATTACTACATAAAATATATAGTTAAAATATAACTTGGGGCAAATCAATGGGTTCTTGAGAAAATACAGAAGTTCTATAACAGTAAGATACTGCATTTGCATCCTCAAATAACACAGAATAGTAAAAAACACAGAGTAGTACACATAGAAAATGTTGGTATGACATATTATCATGAAAATATTTAATACAAATAAGGTAAAATAGCAGTGTGCAAGAGGGGAAAACACTACATGAATCTTTTTCATATTTTATATACTACTTCAAAAGTTTACAAGAAAATGAGACTAAAAGATGTTTATTATGGTACAAAACATGATTTAAGTCCATGCATTGCTTTCTTCATAAAACACATCTTTCCATGAACTTCTTAAAAAACCCATAGTCTCTTCAAGTTCACAGAAATACAGCAATATTAATAATTATAACATATCTTTAGAAACTTAAGTTGTTATTGAATAAGGAGTAAAGTAAAATTTCTTTATAATGAACTTTGAGGGACACTTACATTTCTATAGGAATCTGACTATAGATTTGAAAAATGTGTATCTGATACAAAATCACCCAGACTAATGCTTCCATCACTTTCTTTGCCTCATTTCTAACAGCAGATATTCACATCTCATATCAAAGTGTCTAGTTCTCGGCTCAGTTTTGCTTCCAGTTTCAGCATGTAGCTGACATACACCCAGGAAGTGACAGGTGATGGTTCAACAGTCGGAAGGATCCACATCAGGTCCAGGTCCAGGCTCTTGGCTTCAGCCAGGCCCATCAACTGACTGTTACAAGCCCCTCGGGAATAAAACAGTGGGTGAAAGATCTGTTTTCATCTGCTTTCCTTTTGAATGAAATGAAAATAAACATTAAAAAAATACACTGATTAATCTTGGGCAAATTGCTTCATTTCTCCATGCCTCTTTTTATTTATTTGAAAGCCACAGCTACAGAGAGAGAGGAAGAGAGAAATTTATTCCATCTCTAAGTTCCTTTCCCAAATGGCTGTAAATAAGCCAAGGCTGGACCAGGCCAAAGTCAGTAGCTTGTTACTTCATCCAAGTTTCCAGAATGGGTGGTAGGGGCCAAAGAGTCATTTTTTGCGGATTTACCAAGCACATTTTTTAGGTACCTGGACAGAAGTGGAGTGGGCAGAACTCAAACCAGTGCTCATGGAGGATGCCAGTATTTCAGATGCAGCTTAATTCACGACAACACAGTGCTGGCTCCAAGATGACATATTATTACATGTAAGATATATGTAGAACTTTGTTTGCCATGTAATAAGTAAGTAAAAACTATTCTATTGGGATATTAACAGTAAATAGTAATTCACTGAGTGCTTTTATTACCAAATTTCTGACTTTGGGGGCCAGCATTTTGACCAGGTGTTTAAGAAACTTGTTAAAATGCCTGTATCTTGCAATGCCAGCTCTACTCCCAATTCCAACTTTCCACCAGTGTAGACTCGCACAAGGAAGACTCAGCTCAAAGCCTTGGTGGATACAAGGATTTAGAGTAAACCAGGGAATAGGAGCTCTTTGTCTTTAAAATTTCTGACTTTTCCATTTACATGTTTTTAGGCAGAGAGCCTTTTTTTTTTCTTTTAGAAAGGTAGTATATTGGTTGAAGAATAATGTATTAATATAAAAACCAAAGGGGCTATCAATTGCTCTGTACAGTTCTAATTTATCTACTAAAATTAAGCCTCATAAGGTTACTGAACCCATTTTGTCAGAGAGGAGGTAAATATTTATTGTAGTCTAATCAACAAAGGACCACATGCCATTTTTTTGAGACATGAAGATAACCTGATTAAACATTTCCTGAATTGCCATTACTAATATTTCAAATAAAAAAATTTTATGTTTCATTAGTCATTAATGTCAATTTTATTTTTGAGAATCTCAGGAAAAGAATGTGTTACCTTTATAGCTGGCGCTTAGTCTCAGTAAAACCAAGATTTCCTGATGAGATTCAACCATCAACAGTAGGAGTTTTGTAGCTGTGCTTCTTATGACTGGACTAGAGGTTGATAATAGCTTGAAGACAACTTCATCCAAAATTGAATGCAGGATTTTTCCTTCTATTTTGAGTAAATCACCACTAACAGGAAAAAAAACGTACATTACTAATTGATGCACAGGTATCACAACTAATTTTAAAAAATGGACTAATCTACTGTCTGACTATGGCTTAATCCAAGAAGATAATCAAGTTTTAAACATATAGCTTGGTTCTAAAAATGTATCATATTAAGTAAGCAATATTTACTGAGTTTCTACTGTGTGCAAGATGTCATGCCAGGTAATGGAAAACTTGACAAAAGGCCATCTCTTCATAGAAACTTGCAATCATGGCCCGGCGCGGTGGCGCAAGTGGTTAAAGGTCCTCGCCTTGCACGCCCGGGATCCCATATGGGCGCCGGTTCTAATCCCGGCAGCCCCGCTTCCCTTCCAGCTCCCTGCCTGTGGCCTGGGAAAGCAGTTGAGGATGGCCCAAAGCTTTGGGACCCTGCACCAGCGTGGGAGACCCGGAAGAGGCTCCTGGCTCCTGGCTTCTGATTGGCTCAGCTCTAGCCGTTGCAGCTGCATCGGGATTGAATCAAAGGATGAAAGATCTTTCTTTCTGTTTCTCCTCCTCTCTGTTTATCTGCCTTTGCAATAAAAATAAATAAATCTTTAAAAAATTAGAAAATAGGAAAATGCTAAGACCTTTTTAATTTTAATAGCTTCATTACAATATGATTGCTATATAACATACTTAATACATATAATTTGATTGCTTTAATGTGTTAGACCATCAGAAACAAAAGAAATACATTCATCACGTTTCAAGGACATGTCTCCTCCCTAGCTCCCTCTAATTCCCTGCTGACTATGGATGTGCTTTCCAGTACTACATTTAATTATACTACTATTATATTGAATATGAAAATCCCAATCTTTACCTGTACTTTGTATATTATCTATGCCATTGTAAATTACAGCTAATTTTAAAAATTATGAGTGTTAAAGCATTGGTATAAAGATTCTATAAAGATTTATTTTTTGAAACATTTATTTATTTTTATTGGAAAAAGCAAATTTATAGCAAAAAGGAGAAACAGGAAGAAAGATCTTCCAACCCGCTGGTTCACTCTGCAAATGGCTGCAATGGCTGGAACTGAGCTAATCTGAAGCCAGGAGCTTTCTTCCATTTTTTCCTGCAGGATGCTGGGCCATCCTCTACTGCTTTCTGACGCCATAAGCAGGGAGCTGGAAGGGAAATGGAGTAACAGGGACACAAACTAGCACCCACATGGGATGCTGGTGCTCCAAGGATGAGGATTAGCCAGTTGAGCCATCACACCAACCCCCAAGATTAATTTAATTTTTACTTGGAAGGCAAAATTACTGAGAGGAGAGAGATCTTTGGGTTTACTTTCCAAATGGCTGCAAAGGTCTGAGCTGAGCTGATTTGAAGCCAGGGGCCAGGAGCTTCTTCTGTGCTTCCCAAGTGGGTGCAAGGACTCCAGGACCTGAGTCATCCTCCACTGCTTTCCCAGGCCATAAACAAGGAGCTGAACAAGAATTGAAGCAGTAGAGCAAGAACTGGCACTCCTAAGGAATGCTGGCACCCCAGGTAGAAGCTTAGCCACCACCGGCTCCTTAATACATATTTTTATACTGATTTTGTCTCTCAAAAAAAAATCTTACTAAACTTAGATTTAGAAGATCATTTGTGTAATTTGTCAGATATTCTACATGGATGATAGTATCATGACAAAATACAGAAAGCTTTACTTATTTTTTTCTGTTACTTTTTTGGGGGGGGTGGGGAGGTTAAATTTCCTCTTACTAGCTAGTAATTCTAGTAAAATGTGAAAAATAGAAGTGGCTAAGAGTGGATATCCTTGTCTTGTTTCTGATCTTATGGGGAAAGACAACAGAATTTTATCATCAAGTATAATAGTAGTCAGTTTTTATTAGATTGCCTTCATTATGCTGAATAGGTATTCTCATTATTTTGCTGAAAATCTTTAAAAATTAAAAGCAAAAGAACAGGTACTTGCTTTTGTCAAAATATTTCATCCTATTGATGCAGTTTCTTTCCAATTTAACATGAGCTACACTGATTGACTTTCATTATAAACCAGTCCTGAATCCCTGAGATAAATCTAACTCCTCATGCACTTTTTAATGAATTGCTATATTTGACTTGCTAATATTTTGCCTGTAATGTTTGCATGTATGTTAATAAATGTATTGATGATTATTTTCGCATAGTGTCTTTGGTTTTGGTACTAAAGTAAAATGCTAACTTCACAGACTGAGTTGGGAAGCATTTCTTCCTCTTCAATTTTCTATTAGTTTCTTTATGAATGTTATTGCTTCACTAAAAGATCAGTAGAATTTATCAATGAATAAGCTGTGCAGACTTGGAGTTCTCTGTGCTGGAAGAAATTATATTTTCTTTACAACCATCTAACATATAAGGAGGGTGATACTGTTCTTGAAATCTTCTGTAGTCATAATAATTCTTCATTTAATTATTCTATCAATTATTGAGACAAGCACATTTGACACCTCCCATGTTAACTGAGGATTTATTTCTCTTTGCAATTTTATTAACTTTTACCCATGTATTTGGAAACTATTAGACTAAAAAACATAAATTCAATTCTTAATGATTACAAAATAAGCATTTTTATCATTGGTAATAATCCTTGCTTTGAAATTTGATAATAACACTGGCACTCTAGCTTTCTTATCTAGTCATAACATATTTGCTATTGTTTTATTTCTCTTTATATTTAAAGTACATTCGTGGTAGGTTACAAATAGTTTTCTGCTTCTGTCTTTAATTTGGATTTTCCAAGTATTTGCATCTAATATAATTATAAATTTACCACTTGCTTCTGGCTTCATTATGTATGTTTTACTGCCTTATTTCAGATTGTTTTCTTAAATATTTTTTAAAAATTTATTTATTTTTATTGGAATGGCAGATTTACAGCAAGCAGGAGAAACAAAAAGATCTTCCATTTGCTGATTCACTCCCCAAATAGTCACAATGGTTAAAGCTAAGCTGATTTGAAGTCACGAGCCAGGAGTTTCTTCCTGGTTTCCCACATAGATGCAGGTCCCAAGGTTGTGGGCCATCTTTCCTCTCCCAGGCCATGTGCAGGGAATTGAATGGAAAGTGGACCAGTTGAGATTAGAACCATATGGATGCCAGTGCTGCTGGTGGAGGATTAGCCAATTGAGCCATTGTGCCAGTTCCACAAATTATTATTTTTATGTTCATTTCTACTTCTTTTGTCTTATTAGCAGTAATTCTTTATTATCCTCTTGACTATTTTAAGGGTTACAGTATATATTTCCCCCTATTAACCTACTTTGAGAAATATTACACTATGTCATATAGAGTGCAACAATCTTATAATAATGCATTCCCATTTCTTTCCTCCAAGTTTTATACTGCTGCTAATAATATTTTATGGGTGCATGTGTTATAAGCCCCCAAACATGTTTCTTTTGCACATATATTATCCCAGTACAATTGGTAAAATAACTATATATTTATTTATTTAACCACCATTTTTGCTATCTTTCATTACTTTGACAGTTCCATTCCCCTTCTAACTGAAATACTTCCTTACATTTTTTATAGTGTCATCTACTGTGATTTCTGTCATTGTTCATAACTGATATTTTATTAGTGTTGAGAAATAGTACACAGACATTTCAATTTACATGAAACTCTTACGCATATACCTAATCTAAACAATAAGTATTGTCATTTTTTTAAGTTGTTCCAGGGACTTTGCAGATTTAAATTTGGAGGTAACTCTTCCTTAATAGGATACCAAGTACCATTATCTTTAAATGTGGCTATTACACATAAATCCCCTCAACTCACAACTCAATATCATATACATGACACATTCAATTTGTCAATTCTTTATGGCACATTAACAAAAGTATGTGAAATGTACTGCCACAACCAAAAACACTATAGAATGCATAATTCTGACATAGCAATAAGGAGTGGTTTTCTGTAGGAATTCTACCACACAATATGGGAGAAACAAGTGTAAATATTCAAGACATAAAACGTACAACTTTGACTCTAAATCGCCACTCAGCATGCTTCTATTTTGACATATATTCCCTTGCCCCCATCTAAGGAATGTTAAGTGGAGACACAGGTCAAAGGCTTCCATAATGCAATATTCCACTAGTTTCTGGTTATACCAAAAGTAAAACAACCAACAAATGATTTACACCTAAAAAAACAGTAGGTTTCCCTCCATAAAAATGTTACCCTCTATATTGTACAAGCAGGGAGACAGGAACAACTGTAAGATGCAATGTATGATATTAAAGACTTGCCTTCTTTCTCTGCTGCTTCCTCAGAGGCTGAACTCCCCTCATTTTCAGTTTCTCCATTTTCTGAAGTTAAATGTTTTCTAGTTTCTTGGTCAGTCACCTAGACTGGTTTTCTCTTTGTTCCTCCTTTCCCTTTGCCCCTCTTCTTCCTTTTGTCTGGAATCTTACGTCCAAGAACTTACCCTTCTGGGCAGTCATTTTGTGATTCATTCCCACTTTTGCAGGAGCAGGTTTAGCCAACCATCTTAACCAATCTCCTCTTGGGCACCTGGGTGGCAGGAGGGCATGTGTCGGGTGCCTGCAGGCCACCGTGTGCTGACAGCCTCCCCACAGCGTGGCTGGCAGACTGCTGCCACTCCTCCCACCACCCAAGCTGAAGGAAGAGACACTACTGCTGATTTCTGAAAAAGTATTTTGTTTTTGAAATATATTTTCACTGTATATAAAATTTTAGCACATTTTTTTTTTCTTTCTCAATTTTAAAGGTGTTTTTCAGTTGTCTTCTGCCTGCATTTTCCTGATGAGAAAATTGTCATCTTTATTTTCACTCTGTCTCTGTACAAAGGTTTTCTTTTGGTTTCTTCTAAAATGTCCTAGTCATTATGGTTTGCATACTTTATTTTTGCCTTAAAGCAGACTTTTTTCTTTGTTTTTATTTTCCTTGGGGCCAAACAAGATTCTTCAATCTGCATGTTTGTAGTTATCATCAAATTTGGAAAAACTGTCATTACTTCAATTTTTTCCCTACTCATACTATCTCTTTAGGCACTCTATACTTACATAAGGGCTTTTGATCTTGCTCGCAGTTCAAGATTCTTCTTTCCTTTTTTAAAAAATTCACTTTTCTGTTTGATTTTGCAGTTCTACTGACATCTTAAAAGCCACTAATCTTCTGTAAAATTAATTTACTATTATTCCTATCCAGTGTATTTTCAGACACTGTAGCTCAAATTAATTATATATCATACAAGCCCCTATCCAACTTTTGGAGTATATAAAGTATATTACTGCCCTAATGTCCTTGGCTAATTCTAACATACATATCATATGATCAGCAGGCTTGTTGTCATTTTATGTCTTGTTTTCCTCTTTTTTTTTTATATGCCTGGCATTTGATTTCATGCAAGATATCATCAGTTTTATTTTGTTGGGGCTGACAGAAAAACAAATTAAGCAATATTTTATAGGACCAAGCCATTTCTTTGGGCAGTAAAGTATGATTTAATTTTTTAGTTAATGTAAGAAACAATTACCCTGTAAAAAAAAAAAAAAGGAAAAGGAAAAAAAAAACAATGATCAAAGCAAATATTCTATGAAAGCACAAGGAAATTATTTTTCTTATTAAAGGTAAATCAAAGTATGTTGAATTCCCACGATTTGCATACTCTACAAAAATGAAGATTTCAAAGTGCTGGTAGTTTGGAAACAATCTGATCCATTGGGGGGGCTTGTGTTTTTTAAACATTTATTTCGCAAGTGTATGTTTATGTACACACTCTGTTCTGCTGGCTCTCTCACCAGAGGCCCACAACAGCCCAGGTTGGGCTGAGCTGACAGGAGCTAGCTGCTCAATCAAGGGCCTTTGTAGGTGGGAGGAACCCAGTCTGGAGAGCCATTCCTGCTACCTGCCCTGGTTTATTTTGGCATGAAGCCGGAGTTAGAAGCCAGAGCCAGGAATCAGGTAATCTGATAAGGGACTCAGGTATCTTAGCTGGCATCTTACCACTGTACTAAATGTTTACTCCTCAGGCCTTTCATAATTTGGCTGGGTAGTCCAGATGTTCTCTATTACTTTAGTAAATTCTTGAACACCCTACCCGATGGCAAGTTATTTATGAGGTTTTCTTGTTTGTCAGAAACAAACACTATCCCTCAGCCTCAGTAAACTCCTTTTAATCTTTTGAGATTCTTGTTTTCCTTGGTATTGTGTAGTTTCCTCGCATTTACCTGGGTATGAATACTGCATAGCTGAAGGAACCTTGAGCAGAATCTGGAAATCTGTGTAGCTCTGTCTTCTAACACTCCTTGTGAGCAAAGTGATCTTATTTCCCCCCAAATTTTTGGCTTTATCTCTAAAACTGAGGCTGACTGATAAATCCCAACAGCACAAGGCAATTGTGAGGTTTATCTGGCTTATTTCTTTTTCTTTGTCTCTCTTTCAATGAATAATGCTTAGTTACCTGAAAACTGATGTGTTACATTTTATTTTTTTATTCCATCTCAACTAGAGGTGAAGTCTTGATAATTTTAATTCACTATTTTTCAACTCATTCCCCAAGAACCAGTGCCCAGAGCCAAGGTTTCTTTACTTCCTTTGTATTACTGTGTCTTTTTACTCTAACTGCCGCTTTTGTCTAGACTTGTTTTCCCTTAAATATTTCTTGAAGAGTCACTGAGTAACAAAATTGAAATACAATCATTGGTTCGCACTGTCAACAAGATCAAAGTTTCCTTAACACAGCATATCTAAGATTTTCATTACTTGCTAGTTTCTGATTCTGAATGTTAAATCCAACAATGAATTATTCCTAATTTTTTACCTCTGTGCTTTTGCATATTTTGTTACCTTTACCTGGAAATACTGCTTTTCCCCAGTACTCCTTGGCTAATTTATCATCCTTAAATATTTTATGGGCTGTTGCCTTCTCCAGGAAGCCATCACCCCTCAGCTTGGGGGATAATTTCAACATACCGTGCAATACGCTACAGTTACATTCATGTGTCCCCTTCCTACTTCACCATATGATCCTGGCAGATAAGGTTTACGTATTATTTAATTTTGTAAATACAATGACAGATACAACACTTGGCATGCAGTAACTGCTTAATAAATGCATATTCATTCTGAATTGAAAGAATGAATTATTTTAACTTTCTGCACAAATATTGTACTTTAAGTATTATCTTTATCACAATACTGAGCTTGATACTTATTAGTAAAATATGTGACAAAACACTTTTTATTATGATCAAAATATTCTCCTTCACATGAGATTCTACTCAAAATCTTACTAAGCTATCAAGTTGATAATAAATGTCTAGTCTTTTATAATATCTATATTAATGTTTTGTTAAAGACACTAGTGATACAGGTTTTGTGTCATGGAAAAGTTACATACAATTGATTTTTTGCAAAGTAAGAGTAAAATTGATAATGCTTTTGATCAAAATTTTAAAAATCATCAACATTTCATTAAACCAAGTCACCTGTTGATCAGTAGCATATTCTGTAGCAGAGTCATAAGTGTAGCTCCAATTTGAACATTGTCAGTTTGCAGTAAATGTAAGAAATGATCACTTTGTAGTACTAAAGGAAGAAAAAAAGGAGGGAGATTAAAGCAAAGATTCTATGATAACAGAAATGGGATTCTCGGGCCCGGCATAATAGCTCAACTGGATAATCCTCCCCTTGCAATGTTGAGATCCCAAACTGGTGCTAGTTCATGTCCTAGCCGCTTCATTTCCCCTTCAGCTTCCTGCTTATGGCCTAGGGAAGCAGCAGAGTAGAACCCACAGCCTCGGGACTCTGTGCCCATGTGGGAGACCAGGAAGAAGTTCCTGGTTCCTGGCTTCCGATAGGCTCACCTCTGCCTGTTGCAGCCATTTGAGGAGAGAATCAACAGATGGAAGATTTTTATTTCTGCCTCTAACCTGTGTAAATCAGCCTTTCCAATAAAAACAAATTTTAAAAAACAGGATTCTGTTCCTTTAAAACCAAATCAAAGTGTGACCCTTTCTCCTAAACTTCTAGGTCTCAAATAACCTATAACTTAAACGGTATTTTAAGACAAGCAATTTTAAACAGTTATAAATGTCATCCTGTTTTTGTACATAGATGGGATCAGACAACTCCCATAAATGCCAAGCTAAGAATTTATTACTTCTCTCTTTAAATTGTAAATATAATAAAAACTAAAGCTTGAATTCCTTTTTCTAGCTATGAATTTCAGTAAACAAAATCACATTTCTTGTGGCTATTACAGAAAGCACACCACATATGACTATTATCAGTTGTCAAGTTCTTGAAAAGTTAATTTTGTTATATAACATTTAAATAATCATGAAATATTAAGTAGATGTTTTTCTTTCATTAGTTGAATTTTTCAGGTTCTAAGCAGTTGTTATGACTTTGCATTGGATCTTTTCCTCAGATGTTAAACTCTCAGAAGCTGCATTTTTCATCTGTAAAATCAGCAACAATAGCTGTTACATGTGCTAATGTGGAATGTCCTAGAACAGGACATACTTTCAATCAATTGTCATTATCTATTCCCTCCTCCATTAACAAGCTGGAATTTTAATACCAGTTATGATAGCAGCTGGCTCTATGTACATTACTCTTACTCTTTTCCTATTTCCATCTCTCCCATACTCAACTCCCATTCTTCATTCCTTTTAAAGTCTAATATTTCACTTAATGACATTTTAAAAATGTGTAACAACTTAGAAAACCAAGCTCACTATCACTAAATATTTCTATTTTAATTTCTATTTCCTTAGTAGCAAAACAAATCTTCTCTGTAGCTAGAAAGAAGCATATTTTCCATTTTTATCTACTTAAAATATTAATAACTCTTGAATTAACTTTGGATTCACTGAAGTCATTTGGCAGATTATTGTGTGCTTTGTTTTATATACTGTAAAAATTTACACTAAGATAAGTTGCTAAACTCATTCTATTTTATTCCTTTGTATAGATCTGTTTTTTTTTTTTTCTTGGAAAGGCAATGCAACAGAGAATAGAGTAGACAGACACATGAACTAATGGCACACTCCCCAAACACCTGCAACAGCCGTGTCTTGGCCAGGCCAAAGCTAGGAGCCAGTGACTCCATTTGGGTCTCCCACATGGGTGGCAGGGGCCATCATCTGCTGTTTCCCAGGCACATCAGTAGGAAGCTTATTAGAAGCAGAGTTACCACTACTTCTACTAGAAATAGCACGGCAAATGGCAATGTAGCCCACTACATCAATCAGCTCCCCATTCTATTTTTCATGCTTTCTTGGAATACATAACGATAGTAAATAATTTGAAGAGTCCTGTTTTGCTTTTCAACTGTAGGCAGATAACTTGACATAGTAAGTTCTATCTTCCTGCTACCATTCTCCTAAACAAAACCCAACACTGTGCCTGTTTATTTAAACTCTTAATAACGAACAATTTAAGCATATTTTAGACACTATAACATTATATACAATCTTAACAATGATAATTCATGACCAATCTTGATGATTCCCTAGCTTACCCCTACTGTTGACCGTTTTCACTCTACTCTTATCATGTCTTAAATCTTCAAATTTCCTGTATTTGGCAAGAAGACCCTTTATTTAGGGTCCTTTCTATGAACTCCTAATAGATTTTGATTGTTTCCCTTCTAGTAGTATCTAGTAGTCTACACATTTCAAGCCCACCTCATATACTTTCTAACCCAAGCCTATAGTCAGTCATTTGTCCAAGGGATTCATTTTAAAGAGGCTGTTAGAAATGCCATCTTTCATGTAACTATTTACATTTTGCATATAAAATTGTTAATGGTTGAACTTAGTTTCATAGCTACTTCATGATTTAATTATCTGAGAGGCAGAGTGAGAGACAGAAAGCTCTCTCACCTACTGCTTTACTCCTTGGATGCCTGCAGAGCTGAGGTTTGTCCAGGCTGAAGGTAGGAGCAGAAAAGCCAATCTCGGCCTCCCAAAAGAGTAGCAAGACCTAGCTACTTGAACCTCTTGGGGTATTTATTAGCAAGAAGCTGGAATGAGGAGCTGAGTTCGGACTTGAATCCAGGCCCTCCAATGTGGGATGTTGGTACCCCAAACATAAGTTAACCCTTGGATATTTTTTTAAAAATTTAATTTCAATTGCATTTTAAGTTTATGTATTTATTTATTGCTCGTTTGGCAATTTTGCAGGTATAGGGCTTCTTCCCCTCCCATCCCAGATATTTTAAGAAAATATCTATTTATTTGAAAAACAAACAGAGCGCACGTGTGTGTGTATGTGTGTGTGTGTGTGTGTGTGTGTGTGTGTGTGTATGAGAGAGAGTGATCAAAATAAAGAAATATTGAGATCTTCTATTCACTAGTTTACTCCCCAAATGGCTGCAACAGCTAGGTCCAGGTCAAGCTGAAGCCTAGAGCCAGAAATTACATCCTGGTCTCCCACAAGGGTAGCAAGGGGCCCAGGTACCTGGGTCACCATCACCATCTGGTCAGCAGAGAGCTGGACCAGAGACAGAGTGACTAGGACTCAGACCAGCACTATGGTACCGGAAGATGTCAACATAAGCGGCCAGCAATGTAACACACTGTCACAACGCTGTTCCCATTCGTGTACATTTTAAGTGGACAGATTAACTAAAGAAGCATTGCTTTTATTATATTTCCTATATTTAAAAACATATAATATATTTTTTAAATTATCCAAGTATTCTGTCTCTTTTTACTAAGTGTTTTATATCAATAATCATAACTGCTTTACATTTCTGGTTAAATAATTCTTTAAACTGGGAACTTTGAATAACATTTGTTCCATAATTAATTATGAAACAATTATTTCAAAATTAATAGATAATGTTTTTTAAAAAGCAAGTGATTAGGCATGTTATTTAACTATTTGTGTGTAACAAACCAGGATTGTTATTCTTATTAATTTACTACATTTGGAAAACAGGAAATAAGAGTGTAAGAGTTGGGTACTATAGCTTTTTTTTTTTAAGATTTATTTTTATTTGAAAAGCAGAATTACACAGAGACAGAGAGACAGAAAGAAAGATCATCCACCTGCTGTTTCACTTCCAAACTGGCCCCACAGCCTAAGCTTAGTCAAATCTAAGCCAGGAGCTACTTCCAGGTCTCCCAGGTGGGTGCAGGGACCCAGGACTTTGGGCCATCCTTTGCTGCCTTCCATGTCATAAGCAGGGAGCTGGGTTGAAGTAGAGCAGCTGGGACTAAAACTGGCATCTATATGGATGCTGGTGCTGCAGAATGAGGGTTAGTTTCTTGAGCCACCGAGTTGGCACTGATATTATGGTATTTTAAAAATTAATTCTTGGGCCCAACAGAGTAGCCTAGTGGCTATGCATCTTGCATATGCACCAGGATCCCATACGGACACTGGCTCTAATCCCAGTAGCCCTGCTTCCTATCCAGCTCCCTGCTTGCAGCCTGGGAAAGCAGTCAAGGACGGCCCAAAGCCTTGGGACCCTGCACCCGTGTGGGAGACCCAGAAGAGGCTCCAGGCTCCTGGCTTCAGATTGGCTCAGCTTCAAACACTGTGGCCATTTGGTGAGTAAATCATCAATGGAAGATCTTTCTCTCTGTCTCTCTTCTCTATATATCTGCCTTTCCAATAAAAATAAATAAATCTTTTTATAAATTATCTATTAATTTTCCATTGAGGAAACAAATGTATTAAAGTTTCCCAGTTTAAAGGACTATTTAAGCAGAAATACATAAAACATTATCATATGGCGCTTACTCTTAACTTGATGGATAGGCTGTAAGTTAAATCATACACTGTATATAGGAATTTCTCTCAAAATAGGTCTAGAATACTATGACATTTAAAATGTAAAAATTTAGCTATTTGAAAGGCACAGTGACAAGGATAAAGAGAAAAACAGAGAAAGAGAGATCTCCTATGCATGAATTAACTCCCCAGATGGTTGTAGTCGGCAGAGAGGCCGAAGACAGGAGCCTGAAGGCTGACTGTGTCTCCCACTGGGTGACAGGAATCCAAGTATTTGGGGTTATCTTCCACTTCTTTGCCAGGCACATCATCAGGGAGCTGGACTGCATATGGAACAGTAGGTCCTGAACAGATGCCCATATGTTTGCTGGCCACACAAGCAGTGGCTTAACTTGCTATATATACTATTCATATTGTCAATGTTGGCTATTTAAGGCTCAGTTTGTGAATTAAGCTTTTACAATTACAGAGTTATTTTAACATTATTGAAATATATTTCAACCTTTTCACACTGTAGCTCTATGTACAGCTTATAAGGCATTTATTTTTAGAAAAAAAAAGTCTGAACTATTAACATTTAATTATATAATAACTATCAGTTTTATAAAAAATCTTTTATCTTACCATGCTGTATAAGTTGAACATGGCCTCCCACAAGCCAGAAAAGAGAATCAGTCAAAATCTGGAAATTGTGCAGTAATTCATCTTTTTCTTCACCCTTAACATATAAGACGAACCAATTTAATTTTTTTAATTTGCTTTTATAAGAAAAAAAAAAAAACTCGCTGGTTTCTAGAACCCAGCGATTAAACAAACGATGTAATTACATGGGTTTGGTTTCTAAATTTCTAAAACCATTGGTTAAAGTGCCTACTAAAAACTAGGATTTCTTAATAATTGCTATGCATTAAAACGAATTGTGGAACTTTGTAAATACACATGGTTTAATCCAAATGCACTGAATCTGAATCTGCAAAGATAAAGTCTGAACATCTGTGATTTCACAAAGTCAGGTGGTGATTTGGTTATGAAGCCAAAGTTGAAAACCACTATAGCAGCATATATATGTAAGGTTATTATTAATAGTGTATTTCAGTTCTGGTTTCCACTCTGACTTGTTAGGGGCAGGGATCATGTCTTTCAGCTCTCTACTATGAACTCACTATCTCACAGTTCTGACACACAGTGAACATTCATTTAACAAACAATTTTTCCAGTCTTCTTTTCTGGAAAGTAGAGTGAGAAATCAGTCTTGAGTGTCACAATGGTAAATAAGCAGCACAGACTCCACTTGCAATTATGTCATTTATGGGCATGTCAACTTGAGTAGAAAGGCATACTTTTGTTAGTTTCTGTCAGCAAACTAACAAAATAAGAAATGGTTCAGTAAACTGACTTTGCCATTTTCAACCAAGGACACATCAGAAAAGGGGTGATAATTCTTCACTGTTATTAACCTCAAAAGATAGTCTTGCACTTCTGATTTCATACTTTTACTTAAAAAGCCCATTAGATAGGAGTCACCGATGTGCTGCAGTAAGTTAAAACACCAATTGGGATGCAAACGTCCCACGTCAGAATGTTGGTTTGAATCCTGGCTGTCCAGCTTTCTATCCAACTTCTTAGTAAAGCAGTTGGAAAAGCAATCGATCACAGGCCAAACACAAAGGCCCCTGCTATCCATGTGGGAGACCTAGATAAGAGTTCTTGGTTTATGGCTTCAGCCTGGCCCAGCATTGGCTAATGTGGTTGTTTGAGGAGTGGATAGAAGAGCCAGTGGATAGAATATCTGTCTTTCTGTCTCTCCCTCTTTCTGATACTCTGCATTTCAAACAAATCAATAAATCTTTAAGACAACAACAAGAAGAAAGCTTTGATTCGATTCCTGAGGCCACTGTTTGTTCATGTTAGCTGTGTGTGTGTGTGTGTGTGTGTGTGTGTGTGTGTGTGTGTGTGTGTGTTTCTCTGTGTCTGAGTTTAGAAATTTGAAAAACCAAATAGAATATTGACATTTCCTCACATTCACCACTGGAGCCACTCAAAAAGGTTCTGGCCTCAGGGAATGTATTTTTCTTTATTACTAGTTAAAGCAGAAAACGTGTTTCAAGAAAATACTATGGACTAAGTATTCATGGTTGAAGCTGCAAACTTAGTTAACTACCATTGAAAAATTTTCAAATGCAGAGCTGATTTTTGGGTAACTGTAAGAACACTTATAACTGAAACCCTGAAAATTAAAATCATTTGTCCACAAAATACTAAATAGATACATACTTTAGCTGCATTGATAAAACATGTTTGCAATCGTCTTCCCAAAATGAGAAAAGTTTCTGTAGCTGATGGAAGTATTTCCTTATAAAATTCCTCTGCATCTTCTCCTGGTTCCAAGCCCACACAGCAATGGCTGAAATAATAGTGCAAATTTGTGTTCATTATAAATTTCAGTTGACTATTTAAACTTTTATACAAAACTGTATCTTGATGAGAACATTTAGAATGCAGCTTGTTGCCAGGCCAATCAATAACTGCTGTTGGAAAACTGGTCTAACAACTTTCTAGGGAAGTAAACTATAGTGTAGGCCTTACTAGTAAGGTCCAGTATTCACAAGACATGAAAACTTCAAAGTACTTCAGGAACACAATAAAGAAAATCGAGTCATATTTTGAATGAATTGGCTGTATTCATTCTAAAACAAATAGGATACCTTCAAACTTTAATTCATGAATATCATTTATATAAACTCATGCACTGTAGATTTCCAGTAGCAAAAATACCTCTCCCAGGGTAGGATTAGTCCACAAGGGGCAGAGAAAGAAATCAAAAGCTCTAATTTCATACCAATTTATACCAGTTTTCAATAATTACACTCTTGTTTTTTTTTATAGACACACTTGTAAGATCTACAAATCTGAATATCCTTTACCATGAAAAGAGAAAACAATAAAAACATAACTTTACTTAGGAGCACATTATTAAATACATTAAAGGGTAGCATTTCATTCAGAGAAATAAGCCCCCCCTCTTCTCTTTTTCCCTCCCTCCCCACCTCCCTAAAACTCTGAATCTAAAGTCAAAACAAATAATTCTTTTGAAATGAAATCAACAATAGAAACAAAAAAGAAAAAGCAAGCTAAAATTTGGGGATTGAATGCATTCTCTCAGGTATTAAGAAGTAGCTTAGGCATTTAAAATATCTGGTCTACCTTCTTTTAAAAACTGACTGTGATATTTTCATTCTATTAATTTTTAGCATGAAAGTGAAAAAGTAATTGCTACTCCTAAATTTTATAGATAGGATGTGTTAACAAAATGATTTTTATATCTCTTCTCTCATCATACTTTTACTGCAGCATCTATTTTACTGCCCATATGATTGCCACTCAATTTCTACTGTAAGTTTCTCAAGCACAGTGCCTTAATTTCTTCACTTCTTCAGATATTTCTCAGTGTACAAAGACTGTATTAGACATCTGGTAAGCAAAAGAAATAATCATTATCCTTAGGGAGGGAAATTTTAGACATTGCAAATAGATATGAACAATAACATTGCATGGAGGGAAAATAGAACGAAATCACCAGAGTAGGTTACCAACACCAGTTAGGCACACAAATAAAAACAGGAGCAAATGTTGAAAAACCACACTGATTACTACATTCCTCAAGAACAAGCAGATCTATTGCCTAATTTTTACCTTAATATCTGGGTAAGCTGTGAAACTGTGGTCCAACCACCCTGGATTCGAGAGCAGTCTTGACTGAGGATCAAGAGGCAATATTGAATGAGGTCGTAACAATATATGTCTTGTTTGATTTTCTTCAATTCTGAGCTTCCTAGAGGGGTGTTACTTATTATTTCTAAGGTAAAGAGAAATAAGATGTTTTTGTGAGCTATTTGTATTTTTATATGTTGAGTAATCATTAAAAATCACTAAAACATAACATACTGACATTGTTATACCATGTATAAAGATTTATCTGGATAACTAACAAATTGTACCAAAAACTGAACTATCATTACTTACACAGTGTTACCAACTCACAAAATTATTTTCTTACCTTTTAACTTCAACAATATTACAGGAACATTTTGCTCAGGACTTTTTGCAACTTCAGCAGCTAACAATAAAATCCTTGGGTCTGTACCCGTTGGCTTCATTTCTCATACAACCTACATTTTTAACAGAACCAGAAAATAAAGCATTCACTATCCAAATACTGTTTGTAATATAAATGAAGACAGATTTTCTTGCCTTAGAAGAGTAGATTTTCATCACTTTTTAGGAAATCCTGATTTTTTTTTCCCAATCTGTGTAATTCTAAAAGAATATTGGATCCTGTACCTCACATATAATAACTATAGTGGTATCAGTTACTCTGTATCAAGAGTTAGGAGTTTCATACTTATTCTCTCTAATCTGTACAACTCCAGGATAAGAACTTACTTTAATCATGTAAGGGAAACTGAGTGTGCAGAAAACAGCTGACATGGCAGGGCTAAGACTGATATTCTTTTCTTTTTTCCTTTAAGATTTCTTTATTTTTATTGGAAAGGCAGATACACACAGAGAGGAGACGAGACAGAAAGATCTCCCATCCTATAGTTCACTCCCCAACAGCTGGAGCTGAGCCAATCCAAAGCCAGGAGCCAGGAGCTTCTTATGGGTCTCCCATATGGGTGTGCAGGGGCCCAAGGCTTTGGGCCGTCCTCCACTGTTTTCCCAGGCCACAGTCAGGGAGCTGGATGGGAAGTGGGACTACTGGGAATAGTGCCAGCACCAATATGGGATCCCGGCATGTACAAAGGGAGGATTTTAGCTGCTACACTATCAAGCCAGGCCCTCAGACTGATATTCTTTAAAAGGTCTGTTTATAGGTTAACCCAAGGTTGGTATCTAGAACATGGACTTTACGAGTTTCCACACTTCTCTGATAAGACAGGCTTACTGTACCTAAAACCACTCTGAACAATGAACACTGTTCATTATAACAATGTGGCTTATGGTGAAACCTGCCTGCATACTGGAGTACCACAATTTTGGCACTAATTTCCACAAAGGGTACCCACATAACTGATTTCCACAGCTTTAACAGAAAACCTGAGGCTGATTGCTTTATAAAGAAGAGTTTAGGGCCCGGCGCGGTGGCGCAGTGGTTAAGGTCCTCGCCTTGCACGCCCAGGATCCCATATGGGCGCCGGTTCTAATCCCGGCAGCCCCGCTTCCATTCCAGCTCCCTGCCTGTGGCCCGGGAAAGCAATTGAGGACGGCCCAAAGCTTTGGGACCCTGCATCCCCGTGGGAGACCCGGAAGAGGCTCCTGGTTTCGGATCGGCATAGCATAGCATCGGCTGTTGCGCTCACTTGGGGAGTGAATCATCGGACGAAAGATCTTCCTGTCTTTCCACTCTGTATATCTGCCTTTCCAATAAAAAAAAATAATAAAAATAAATTTAAAAAAAAAAAAAAAGAGTTTAGTTTCAGCCTGTCCCTACCACAGATGTAGCAGGATTTCAGGTAGTTAATAGAAGATCTTTATCTCTCTGTCTCTTTTTTATTTTAATCAAATGAAAAGCAAATCCTGATTTAAAATTTTCAGTTTTAGATGCACAAAGATATTATCCTTTAATAAAACGGATCATTCTAATGAATGTAAGTTAACATATACTAAGCATTTACTAGGAACTAAGCACTTTCATACACATTAATCTTCACAGCAGTACTATGAAGTAGCCTATAATCATCTCCATTTTTCTTTTTTTAAAAAATGAAGATTTATTTATTTGAAAGGTAGTTTCAGAGAAGAAGAGACATAGATCACACATTTTCCATGTCACTTCCTAAGTAGCCCCAGTGGCTGGGGCTGGATTGGGAGGAAGCCAGGAGCCTGGTGCTCCTTCTAGGTCCCCGCTGGCTACAGGGGCCAAGGACTTGGGGCACCTTCCACTGTTTTTCTAGGCACATTAGTAGGGAGCTGAATTGGAAGTAGAGTAGCTGGGACTCGTAGACTCATACTGGTACCCATATGGAATGACAGCCTGGCAGACAGCAGCTTAATTTGCTGTGCCACAATGCCAGCCCCCAATCATCTGTATTTAACAGATAAACAAAATCTGGAAAATGTCATGATGCCACCAGCATGTATTAATAATAATTAAACCAGTCTAACTCCAAAGCCTATGACTTTAAATACTAGATGCCTTTTATGTAAAACAAATTGTATTCCCAAATAACCTACTTTCCATTCACTTTTTAAAACTATCCTTTGTCATAAAGAGCACTATGGTTCATCCTATGTATTAAAGAGTTGGCCATAACACAATAATTCAGGGTCCGGTGAGGAAGCCTAGCAGTTAAAATCCTCACCTTGAACTCACCATGATCTAATATGGGCACCGGTTCTAATCCCGGCAGCCCTGTTCCCCATCTACCTCCCTGCCTGTGGCCTGGGAAAGTAGTCAAGGGCAAACCAAAGCCTTGGGACCCTGCACCTCTGTGGGAGACCTGGAAGAGCTCCAGGTTTCTGGCTTTGGATTGGCATAGCTCTGGCCATTGAAGCCACTTAGGGAATGAATCAGCAAATGGAGGCTCTTCCTCTCTGTATATCTGACTTTCCAATAAAAATAAACTCATTTTTAAAAAACATAAAATAATCCAAAAATCATCCCTTATTAAGTAAAACATCAATCTTTTTTTTGTTTTGTTTTTGTTTTTAAATCGCTTTATTCAGGTTGGCTGGTAGTCACGACTGGATCATTTATACAGGGACACATACTTCCCGTAGGCAAAGCCCTCTCTCTACCCCAGGACCCAATCCATCCTTGAGAGGCTGGCCAGAGGCTTGAGCCCCAAAGAAATATTTACAACAGACAATCCCTGGCACATGGGAGGCCTGAAACTTTCCAAAGGAGTACACATAATTATCTTATTCTTTCCAGTCAATGAGCCACACTATGTTTCTTTTCTAAAGATGCATCAAAATAAATTCAAACATCCTCTTAGAAGTAATTCACATTAATGCTATCATAAGCAATGCTGCAATGTCAATGTATATATTTTTATTCAATGATATTATTTCTATAGGATGAATTCCCCCTTGATATTGGGTCATATATATAATATGATATATATATATAATATATATATATATAATGTTGATTGGAACATGACAGTTTTCCTCCAAAGTGATTGTTCCAAATCATACTTCTACCAACATCATGAGAATTCTCATTTTACCGCACTCTTAAAATATATAATGTTAACGTTCATGTTTCATCTGGTCTTCGTTTTAGTTTGTATTTTTTGAGTATCAGAGAAGTGAATCACATTCCCTACTGAGGAAGTGAGGTACTAGGCTCACCAGACATTTGTTTTTTATTTTTAAAAAAGATTATTTATTCCAAAGGCATAGGTAGACTCAGAGAGATCTTCCATGTGCTCATTCACTCCCCATATGGCGGCAATGGCCAGGACTAGACTAGGCCAGGCCAAAACTAGGAGTCAGAAGCTCCTTTCAGGTTTCCAACATGCATGCAAGGGTCCACGTATTTGGGCAATCCTCTGCTGCTTTCCCAGGTGTGCTGGTAGGTAGCTAGATCAGAACTGGAACAGCTGGGAATTGAATCAGCACTCAGATACCAGTAACAACTTAACCCACTATGGCACAATGCTGGCCCCCATTTTTTTCTTTTATGTATTTTCTGTTCATATCCATTGACCAATTTTTTATTGTCTTGTTTTATTTTCCCATAAAGCTTTTAACTTACAACAGAGCTGCTAATGGCTGGCTCACTCCGCAAAAATCCACAACGCCTGGGACCAGGCTTGAGGCCACAGCACATGCTGCCAACAGTTCAGGTCTCCCACATCCACAGGGGAACTCAGTTACTTCAGTCATCACTGCTGCCTCTCAGTGCTTCCATTATAAGGAAGCTGGAGACAGGAATTCAGCCCAGGTACCGTACTTATGATCTAGGATAAGGTAACTTAATCCTAGATTAAATTCTCATGCCTAGTTTTACATTTTTTCCTAAGTAAACAACTTATTATTTAAATTATTCAATTACTTTTTAAAAGTTTTTTTTTTTTTTTAAGCCAGAATGAGATAGTGAGATAGACAAAAAAGATCTTCCATCACTGACTCACTTCCCACATGGCTAAAACTGCCAGAGCGAGGCCTGGCCCAAGCTAGACCAGGAGCTTCTCCAGGTCTCCTTTATGTGTGCAGGGACCCAAGCTTCGGGCTGCTTTCTTAAGGCAGGGAACTGAATCAGAAGTGGGGCATGCAGGACTTGAACCAACATTCAGGAGGAATGCTAATACTACAGGCAGTGGCTTTACGATTTTCACTGCAGTGCCAGCCCCTACTTTTACAATTTTTACACTCAAGTGGAACAACTCTTTCTGGACTTCAGCCTTTTGTATCATACTTAGATCTTCTATCCCAAGAGCTACAACACATCTCAACTTTTTTTGTGTTTCTGTGTTAACTTACATTATACTCATGAATGGTTTGAAAAAGGAAATTGACTAGATCTTTTGAGTTAGATAAGGTTATAGACTGGTTACAAAAGGACAAGTGCAGACTTAAGTCATAGATTCTTGAGGTAACTAGCTATGAATAGTTGTAACACAAACTATGGAAAGTGTCATATTTTCATATGTTAAATATACATACACACACGGAAAATATTCTTGGATTCTATTTAGTGTGTATTTTTGGGCTAAAATGATATAATTCATTTTAATATATATTTGGGGGAAAAATCATAGCAAAAGGCAAATCTATACCTTCTGTGGTAGCTGTCCTATCATTTTCATCCCCTGCTAGATCCCTAGTGGCTGGGGTGGTGCCAGGCATATAGTAGGGACTTAATCAGTGCATGGTGAAAGGATGAATAAATGAATAAACCTCAAGCATTCTGAAATACAATTTCTTTAACTTTTGCTTTTCTCTACATCACCACGCAGAAACTCAGATTTCTGGTTGAAAGCATCTTAATATAGACTTAAAAACACTCTCCTTGATTCCATGGTCATCATAATAGCATATCACTAAAATATTATCATCCCTAAGTATATTTTTAGCAGTGTGGTAGATACAGGGATCTCAGATTTTACTTAGGATAGACTTCTTAATATCCTGATGGGGAAAGAAAATTATATATGTATGCA